GAGGGGAAAACCGAGAGTTCGAGCGAAACACGCCAAAAGGGGAGCGGCGTTTAAGCCATGTCGGGCAGCTTTTACGCAAACGTTCTCGCTCGAATTAAATCGTAGGCGTGAGTATTGATGTCCTGACGCGAGCACGAGTCACGAGTGATTTGAATTCGATCCTCGTGCACGTGATTAGGGCGATGTAGTATTTTACTTGCCTCGTACAGCACACGATCGTTTAGCCTTAGTCCCGCGAATGAGTGTGTACTACAAGGTGGTCCGTTTTGATTAACGAAGGGTGACATTTATTGGTGGGGAGAATTTTTGTTGAGGAAAGAACGTTTTAAGTAAATTGTCGAATTTGAAACAGAAAAGTAAACTTTCGGCAGATTTTTTTTCAGAAGAAACCGAAGTGATTAGAAAATATCCGAAAGAAAGAAATAACAGCTGTAAATCTCACTATTACTTTAACTTTCATTTAAATATTTACAATTCAGCTATTTGAGAAGAAGATTCGAAGGATGGTAAAACAACGCGATCGCTGCAATTTTTATAACAAATCATTCAAAGATTCTGCAGTAATATAACGATTTCAAAGCGTACTCGAACCTCTCATCCACCAATGTTTCATCTTAACAGCGCAATAACCTGTGACATTCATATTCAACTCCAGCGTGTTCAAGTTTTACAACTTAGTATTTTCTGAGAGGCGCGACATCAATTCGAAACGGATCACCTTGTAGATACATTGCTGTCAGCGTATGCACTGTAAAAGCTAGCTGTGTTCGTTGTTCGTTGCTTTTGATTTCGATACACCACATCGAATTGAAATATCGAGGCCACGTTCTAGTAAGGTAGTCAATGAAATAGTAAAAACTCGCGAGAACTATCGTTCGCAGACGATGAACACCTATTTATATACGCATACACATAAATACGTAAAGCAGCGTGTATGTACAGACCGAAGGCTTCGAATTGTTTGATTATAGGTTATTCGAAATTAGCTCGCGGGTGAAATTTATTTTCTCTATTCTGAATTAAGAAATTTGTGAAACTTCAAACTTTCAAAATTGTTTCATTCCGAGGTGTTAAAAATCTCAAATTTTCGAGTTGCAACTGTTCTTATCTGCGGGATTTCCGAATTTCCGATTTTCTTAATTGAAAATTCCTCAGTTCTAAGATTTCTTAATTGCCAAATTCTTTCGTTTCAACAATTTGCATATTTTCTGCACTTCCCCTCGTATTTCACACTATAATTAACGATTTCAAGCCTCTGGCAGCTCAGTGTGAACATACACGCGTATAAATTCGTATTCGCAATCGCTTTTCTTATCGACACCGATCGAAATCAAAGGTAATTCGCAAGGATAACTATTGCACCAAGCATTCGTGATCGTTCGTTCTGTTGGCACGTTGCAAAACGACGTCATGCCGCGATGGCGAGGGATCGATTGTAATAAAACAAAATAAAACGAAACAAAAGATATGAAAAGGAAAAAAAGAAATGGCGCAAGCGTTTAATAAAGCGTAAACGTTTTGTCGACGATCGAACGAGACAGAGTGTGTGAGAGAGAGAGAGAAAGGTAAGAAAGAAAGAGAGAAAGCGAGAGAGAGAGAGAGAGAGACAAATTAGAAAAGCTTAGAGCTGATAATATATTTGCAGATTAAATAGACTCGGGGTACCAATTATAGTACTCTGAAACGCCTTCGAAATTCGGGGAGCAATACAATCGAGCCACTTTCACAGTCAACGACTGGAATTATTATTATCATTATGATTACTAACGCCATGATTATCGTCATTATGAATTACTGTCATGATTATTAATTATTACAATGAATTATTCTAATTCTTGTTATCGCAGACACTGATCATTATTGTAGCGTGGCACTATCGAAGGTTATAACAGGAGAAACAAAAGAAACAAAAGAAAAAACAGAAAGATCGATTATTATAGAGTGCGGACAAACAGATCGAAATCTATTAAAAACGCATTGATCGCAAAGTTGCAATATAAATTGATTTCGTTGTTTTGTCACGTTGTTCGTGCATTGAAATCTCCCCATTCCAATGCCTGATCAATAGCAAGGTAAGTGAGCATTTTCTGACCATTTATTTACACTGTATTTTAGATGCAGAATTAGTTTAAAGCCACTTTAGAAATTGTAAATCCAAGTGTGCAACTATGAAATTTATCAACGAAATATCAGCTGCTTCAAAAATTCTAATTTTATCGCAGTTCTAACAAATAGCGAGTTGCAATTCGTAGAAGAGATATCGATCAACATCCGTGTCTTCACATGAAATTGCACTTAGCAATAACGTCGAAATACGCGTCGATTCGATGTCGTCGGACATTCACACGAATGTCACTGGCCGTTTTGCTATTGAAGGCCCATTTCATCGGTGCTCTTCTTTCACGAGCGTGTGCGCGCGCTCGTCTTCTAAGTGGACCAAAGAAATCGTTTATTGGCCTCAAAAGTGGGTTAGCGGCACGGGGCTTCGTAAAGTGAGCGATTAATTAACCATAAAAAAAAAACCAACGCATTATTGTCGGCATGCATACAAAGCGCGTTGTATTTGACGGTAAACATTGACAGGTTAATCGACTTCCAAAATTTTTCAGACGTCTCGGTCGTGCATGCTCCATTAAGAAACATGGTAAACACTTTCTTTCGTACATTTTTCATTAATCTTCAAGACGTGCTATTTCAAAAATGAAAAGAAGTTACATTATGTTATTTATATTATTTATTCAGTTTCTTGCAATTAGTTCGATGTCAATTCTTTATCTGATTTGTGAAACGTGTTATTATCTTCGTGACTGGTGACTTCAATTCTTCATTTAATTTCTTCATTTTACCTCTTTGCAAAAATATCCTTTCAGTTTTAAAATTACATCGATTTAACTATTATTAAGTTAAGGAGTACCTGGTTGCAGACATATTTTTTTACCTCTTTTTACCAAATATCTTAAAAGGCTTAATTTTCTAAATACTTAATTAACTAGATCTTTTAGAACACTCATCCAACTGTAGTTATTTATACAAATTCGCTTACAGATTTCTTATCTTTACTAATTCATACAATAATATTTATAAGATAGTTTCCATCGTCTACAATTCTTCAAATGTTCCTTCGTAGTTTTGGTTGCTTCGTTGTCAGCCCCTAACTGCAGAACAATTCATTTCAGTAATATTTAGAGCT